TTATAGATGAAGAAACTAAAGATGGCAAGTATTATGTGGCTTTCCCAATGTTGCCATGCCATTAAAAGGAAAAGCCAGGAATCTATCCCAATTCAGTCTGGTTCCAGAGGGACCAGGACATATACACACACACACACACACACACACACACACACACACACACACACACACGTTATTAGAGCCGAATGCAAAACAGTGTATGGATCAATGCACCATAAATATTGTAAGAGTTCCAGATTTCAAGTAGATAAAAGATGATCTCATTATCCCCCATGACCCACACTTGACCCCTGAATTCATAAGGTTCCTCAAATTGTAACTGACAGTTTCTGGAAACGCTTTTGGAGGGCCATTTGCCTTTTCTCACTTTATTATCCAAAGGTCTACAGTTGGTCTGGTACTTCTTACAAACCATTACGTTTAGGTAGCTGGGCAAGAGATTATGGAACTTGTCTTTTAAAAAGAAAGAAAAAAAGGGGCACCTGGATGGCTCACTCTGTTAAGCATCTGACTCTTGGTTTCGTCTCAGGTCATGATCTTGCAGTTTCGTGGGTTTGAGCCCCACATCAGGCTCTGTGCTGAGAGTGCAGGTCCTGCTTGGGATTCTCTCTCTCTCCTTTCTCTGCCTCTCCCCTCTACTCTCCTCTCTGTGCTCACTCTCTCTCTCTCAAAATAAAAAAACTTAAAAAAATAAAATAATTAAAAGAAAAAGAAAGAAAAAAACCCCTTTAGGATGAGGGGTATTAAGGGTTCAACATATATTCATTGCCACTGCAGTAAAGAAAGGAGAGGGACCCACCCAAGTGCAAAAGGAGTTACTCATTTATTCAAAATATGTTTATTGGATGCCTACTATGCGCCAGCCTCTGTCTTTGGTACAAGAACACACAGTTGATTGAGATAATCAAGTCCCTGTAGCCATAGAACGTACATAGGGCTAGTTAGAAAATCAAGTGTGGTCCGGGGAGAGTGACAGGGAGTGAAGAGAAGGTAGGGTGGAGGAGACATTTTAGAAGAGAATGGTAAGCTGAGACCTCTCTGAAGAGATATCCCTTAGTTCTAACTCTGTAGCCTTTCCCAGATGCTGATGACTAATTTGAATTCACTTCCTCTTTTTCCCCAAATCTAAAACAGAAGGACCACTTTATGAAGCTTTGGGAACTCAGTTCTCACCCCTGCACCCCTTAGTGCCATGGGAGCGGCTGTCATTCCAGCTCATCCCACCTTGCCTTCTGGTTAATAGAAAGAATAGGAGGAAGAAAGGCTCCGATATCCATTGACCTATAGAGTCCTACTTGGGGTATGTGAGCTCACAGCAAGGCTTCTATCTGCTCTGCAGGTGGAACAATGAATGTAGCAGTGCCTTTCTTAAGGTAAAGCAGGATTTTGGCTGTAGGCGGTAATAACATGCTGTTGCATAGATGGAACCACCAGCTTTCTCTGGGATAACCCCATTCTCTGTCCCTTTTAGCCGCATCCACGCAGAAAAGTCTAAGAACCCAGAAATCTCTGCGTGTTGGCTAATCTTGTATCTGTACCTGAGTGTCAATTCCCCATTTTCCATAATAACGGGAAAAAGAGTTTTCTAACTTGTCCTTGCACAGCATGTTTTATTGGCCGGAAACAAAAGGAAGCTGCCTGTTTTGTCATGACAAATCAAATCTATTCAGCGAATATTTACTGAGAGTACTGTAACCTGGCTCTATGCTACCATGCGGATCCTACTTCTGGTTTTGAGACTGTTACTTAAATTCTTAGAGTCTTGGTTTCCTCATCCTATGTGTATGTTATTTGTAACATGAGATTAAGAATACATTTAGGGGCGCCTGGGTGGCGCAGTCGGTTAAGCGTCCGACTTCAGCCAGGTCACGATCTCGCGGTCCGTGAGTTCGAGCCCCGCGTCAGGCTCTGGGCTGATGGCTCAGAGCCTGGAGCCTGTTTCCGATTCTGTGTCTCCCTCTCTCTCTGCCCCTCCCCTGTTCATGCTCTGTCTCTCTCTGTCCCAAAAATAAATAAAAACGTTGAAAAAAAAATTAAAAAAAAAAAAAGAATACATTTATCACCTAAAGTAGTTAGGATTAAATGGGATCATGCCATTCAATAAGACAGACAATACTTAGCCCACTGCCTGGAACCTAATGAATGGTGAATAAACGTTAGCAGATATAACAACGAGGTCAATGACGATGTTGATGCATAAAGTTACAGGAATTCATTCAGCAAATATTTACTGAATACCACCTGTAAGCCAGGCAGGGTTTTAGGTCCTTGGGGCACATTAGCAAAAGTAGATTTAGAAAAATCTGTTGACTTTGTGGAACTTACATTAGGGTGCATCAATCTATTCTTTACGCTTGGTTTGGCTTAGAATTCTGTGAAGACTCGTACTGGTGAATAATTGGTATCCAATCAAATAGCAGCTTAAAAATCAATTCAAGTTTGATGTGGGCAAAAAAATAATTAAAATAAAATCCAACTTCTATGTTTTACATACTTACGGAAGGTAGATTTCTAAGTCGTCTCTCTCTTTAGCAGTAAACTCTTATGCTCCAGGACGGAACTACCGTATTTTCCAATTGAACAATGAAGCCATATGTCTGAGGAGAGTTTGCTTATGAAGCAGAGTATCTGAATTGAGGATTGTCTCAGAAAGTCTCACACATATGGTGCCCATATCTATGCAATTGCCCAGGGGAAATGAGAAAGAAACACACACTGTGTGTCACTCCTTGAGATCAATGTGTTCCCTCCGTAAAGTTGGCTCTGAAAATGTGCCTTTTGCCCTTTGGCCTGTACTGACATATGCTGCATGTGTCTTACCGGGCAATAATACGATACATCTCAGAAATAGAAAGGTTCAGTTTTAACCAGGCTGCTGCAGTGTACTAGCAACTTTTCCCAGGCTTCAAAGGGACATTCTGTAGACTCCTATGATGTAAGAGGGTGTTCCCCCTCCAGCTGTGGCCAGCAGATGCTACGCAAACACTCTCTTTGTCCACGTGTGCTGATAAAAGCAAGGAAAATGTGAATAATGGAAAAGAATGGCAGGCAGTACTTTTGCTGGCTATGGTGATTTTAAACCCAAGCGAAGCACACACTTCAGCTTCTCCCTGGCTGAGCGTTGCAGTCCCCTTGAAATTTTTCACTCTTGTGAGAATGACTCACGTCTTGGAAACGACGAGTTCCAAGTCTGGTGCTCCCAGCACCTTTAGGCATTCGTTAAGGTGCCCGGTGGGAGTTTTCAGCATCCTGTCAGCTGTTTTAATTAACAAGGGATGCTGTGCTCTCTTGCCTCTCACTGGAACTGTTCCCCGGCACCGTGAACTTTCCATTCGTGTTGGGGTTCCCTTTATCAGCCTCCCAGGTTACATACTGTGATGTCCTGTAGAAGTGCTGGAAGGGGAGCACATCTGTGTTTGGTTGTTTTAGCTTCCTTGTTAGCTGATACTTTGTCTATTTTTTATTTTATTTAAATCCAAGTGAGTTAGCATATAGTGTGATGTCGATACTTCAAACTGGATTGTGTTTTGGCTTTTTAAAACCCTCTCAGAAACACTTCGATTTGGCTCCTCACCGCAGCTCTGTGAAGGGTCCCTGACAAATATTATTATCTCCATCCAACAAAAGAAAATAACGTCCACAAGCTAGAATCCTGGTCTCCAGACTGTTCTGCATTACCTCGGGTTGTCTTAGTTAGGGTGAAGTCAACTCCACATTTTAAAACACACGGAGATTTGGGGAGAGTGGTGCTCTTGGAGAGACGTGGAAGTTTGTGCCCTTTCCATACCCCCCTTTTAGCTGGCTGCTTCTGAGTAATGTCCTTTTATAATAAACCAGTAATCGAGCGGGTAAGCAGGTTTCCTGAGTTCCGTGAGCCACTCTAGCAAACTAATCAAACCCAATGTGGGCAGGTCTTGGGAACCTCTGATTTAGAGCCAGTTGGTTAGAAGTACAGGTAACAACCTGGGCTTGGGACTGGTGTCTGAAGTTGGGGAGATGAGTGGCAGTCTTGTGGGACTGAACCCTTAACCTGTGGAGTCTGATGCTATTAGGGATGGTGTCAGAATTGAGTTCAATTGTGGGACACCCACTGTTGTCTGGAGAACTGTTTGTTGGGTGAGGATCCTCCTTTCCCTGACACGCTGGAGTTGGGTCCAGGAAAAGTTGGGCCCAAAAGAAAAACGAACTAACAAAAGTCTACCAGGTACCTCTTCTATGTTCAGCCTTGGAGATACTTCAGGAAATAAAAAAAATATATAATTCTTCTCTACTCTGGTTGTTCAAAACCTTATTCAGAAGATACACAGACCATAGGGAGGAATACAAAATTGGCTGTTATTAAGAGCTGAAATGTGTTTCAGGTCTAATGTATCACAGCTTTTTGTTTTTCAGCTTAGAAGCATCTTTTTATTTTTTGTTTACTTTCTTCTTTTTAAGTTTTTTTTTGTATTACGGCTTTAAAAGGATGGGAAATTTACCTGTTGAAATGAAGCGCGATGCTCTTTCTTCCTTAACTTATTTTATTATTATTTTTTAAAGGTTTATTTTTGAGAGAGTGTGTGTGTGTTTGCCCGAGCAATTCGGGGAGGGGCACAGAGAGAGGGAGACAGAGGATCCAAAGCAGGCTCTGCGCTGACAGCAGAGAGCCAGATGTGGGGCTTGAACTCACGAACCGTGAGATCACGGCCTGAGCCGAAATTGGACACTTAACCGACTGAGCCGCCCAGGCTCCCCTAACACATTGTGCTTTTCAGTAGAGCCTTGCCACCGTCATCTCATTTGATCCTTGAAACAGCACTCTGAGGTCCACCAGAAGGACATCCGTATCCCTGTTGTGCAAATGAGCAAATTGAGGTGCAGAAAGTCACTTAGCTAGTTAAGTGAGAAAGTGAGGTTGGAGCTCCTGAGTGCTTCTAGTCCAACACTCCCCGTGAAACCATGTGTATAACAAGTATGGGACAAGAGTGGTTAACCAAGAGTATCATTTGATTATATTACAGATGCATTGTGAGAGGTTTCTCTGTATCCTGAGAATAATTGGAACCACACTTTTTGGAGTCTCCCTCCTCCTTGGAATCACAGCTGCTTACATTGTTGGCTACCAGTTTATCCAAACAGATAATTACTATTTCTCTTTTGGACTGTATGGTGCCTTTTTAGCATCACACCTCATCATCCAAAGTCTGTTTGCCTTTTTGGAGCACCGAAAAATGAAAAAATCCTTAGAAACGCCCATTAAATTGAACAAAACCGTTGCTCTTTGCATCGCCGCGTATCAAGAAGATCCAGACTACTTACGAAAATGTTTGCAATCTGTGAAAAGGCTAACCTACCCCGGGATTAAAGTTGTCATGGTCATAGATGGGAACTCAGAAGATGACCTTTACATGATGGACATCTTTAGTGAAGTCATGGGCAGGGACAAATCAGCCACTTATATCTGGAAGAACAACTTCCACGAGAAAGGTCCTGGTGAGACGGATGAGTCACATAAGGAAAGCTCGCAGCATGTCACCCAGTTGGTCTTGTCCAACAAGAGTATTTGCATCATGCAAAAATGGGGTGGAAAAAGAGAAGTCATGTACACGGCCTTCAGAGCACTGGGACGAAGTGTGGATTATGTACAGGTAGGTTTCCGAATTCCTGCCAGGGCAAACATACATTTAAATAAAGCAGCTTTTGTGTCTCTCCAGGCATATGCTATAGCCCATCCTTGTCCCTCTGAACACAGTATTCCTTTCAGTTCATTTGAAAACCGCGTGACTGTTGAAAGCACATTTTGAAAGCGAGGAAAAAAAATCTTGTGAAACTGTTAAAGACTATCTACGAAAGTGCTGAACTTACGCGGTGTTATTGGTTGGAAATTGAGATTATTTTGAACAGGAGACCCTTCCTTCCTTCTCTCCCCCTCCCTTACCTTCTCTGCCCCCTTGGTTCTGCCAAGTCAAATCCAGCGTCATTTTCCACAGTCTTAAAATCTCCAGACCTTGTACGAAAATAGTGTCTGCCGAGCAGAAGGGTCTTGAGAAAATCTGCAGGCTCAAGGGATGGCTATAAAACGTTTTTCACGGAGACTGGGCAAAATGGGGGTGGTGAGAACAATTTTGATTTAAAAGGGTAAGGCATTCAAAGCTGGGAGACAGAAGGAGAAGGAAAATGAAAAAGGGAGAAAAACAAACACACACAAAAACCCTTCCCAGAGCAAAATCGAAGTAATGTTTATTTCACTCCCCAAACAGCATTACCTCACTCACTGCACTTGACCTTTGAAAGCATTTGTGATGGTGTTTGCTTGCATGAAAATGAGACAGGCTGTGTCTGTCATTAATTCCCTGACTGCTCTGCTTGCTCCAGGATTTCTGCCCTCCTCGTTCTCACTGAAGCTTTCTTTAGAATGTTAGTAGGGTCCCTGTGAGTTTTCTAACTGCAATTTTCTTGCAGATACTCCACTTAAATTTTGGCCATGATGATACGGAGAAGGGAGAAATGTCTGCGGTTTAAGAGAATCCACTGGGACACTCTCCCAGTCTCCAATCAGTGAAATCCGACTTTTCGGAAGACCCATCATATACGTTAGGGTCCCTGATTGTCACAAGGTCATGCCCAGTGGGATGGCATGGTCTGTGTGATTCGGGGAGAATGGGCACTGGCTTCAGAGTCAGCTGGATGACCCGCCTGGAGCAGGACCACCTTTCCAAGCCTCAGTTTCATGGAGAGAATAAGCCAGTCTCACAGAGGGTTTGAGATTACCACGGGGTTAATTCTGGTTACTATCTGAGGAGTTTTGAGGCATTTTTTCCCCCTCAGTTGGTACCAATCTGCATATTAATCTCTTCTAGCGAGTTGATAGAGTTTCACTCCCAAGTTTCTCCTAATTTCTAGAATGTTCACAGTCGAGGTACTTTTAGTTAACTCAGGACATTTTTGTGTATTTTCATAGTGTAACTTCAGGCCCAGATAGAGGATGAAAGGATCCTTTTAAAGGAAGTGATGGGATGGCTGGGGAATTTACAGAGGGTTTGAAGACTGAAGCCTAAAATGAAGAAACATGTTTTGATATTTCGCCTTTAATTCTAGTTAAAACAATTGCTACATTTGTCGTTTCTAATCAAGATGTCATTGTGTGGGTTTTCTTTTTTCTTCTCTCTTTTTTTTTAAGCCTGTTCCTCCCAAAGCCGCTTCTTCCATCATTCCTGTGTTGAACTTTGTTTGTATCCTTGACAACTTGACATTGTGCCTGACCAGGACAAAATAATACAAGCTATGGAACGTTAGCCTGGGCTCCTTGCTAGAACCCTAATCAGGCTTGAGAACTTTCCTTCCATCAGGCTGAGGCCTCCAAATAGACTAACCTGAGCACCAGCTGTTAACTGGGTCCTAAATCCTGCTAGAATTCTCCATCCATTCCAAATGTTCAAGGGGACTGACACAAGAGTAGAAAACCATTTGGCATTCTGAAACCAGGTGACTCCATCCTGCCATTCCTCATCAAAATCCCCAATTTTTAACCCTGTGTGTTCTATAAAAGTGGAAACATTATAACAGTCAAACCAGTACGTTCTCACCATCCATTCTGACTGACCCAGGGTCTGAGAGTTGCAAAGCAGAAGCCACAGAAAGACCAAGGAGAGAGGTTCAAAGATGTTGGCTACTAAGCATTACAAGTGACTGAATGTGGAGAGCAGATTGGCTACCGAAGGAAGGAAGTAAAGTTTAGGTGCTCATACACAAGAGAGAATGGGGGCTGGGGCAGAAATAGGACCATCGGCTCACATCCTTGCTACCCTGACTGAAGACACTGCTTAGCTGGGCAGAGATGGCGCGGATGATTGTTTTTCTCAGATGCGGCTGAATCTTTGCACTGGCTAGTTCTCTTCACTTCATCTTTTTTTTTTTTTAAGTTTATTTATTTGAGAGAGAGAGAGAGAGAGAGACAGAGAGAGAGAGAGAGAGAGCGCAAGAGCGCATGCATGCGGGGGAGGGGAAACCAAAGCAGGCTTCGCGCTGTCCGTACAGAGCCCAATGCGGGGCGCTATCTCAGAATCATGAGTCGAAATCAGGAGTCCAACGCTTAATGGACTGAGCCACCCAGGCGCCCCTCCATGACCCTTTTAGCAGGAGAAAAGGAAGACTAAATTATTCAAAATAGTAGAGTTGACCCTTGTTATTCATGGAGTCTGTATTTGTAAATTACCCTCCTCATTAAAATGTAGTTGTAACCCCCAAATCAGTACTTGGCTGCGCTTTTGTGATCATTTTGAGACGTGCAGAACAGCAAGAAATTTGATTCACCTGATGTTCATGTTCCCAACTGAGGTCAAAGAAGACTGTGCTCTGCCTTTTTCAGCTTTTATACTGTAAACAAGTAACTTCTTCATAATGTATTTAGTATCATGTTTTTCACATTGTTGTGCTTTTTGTTGGTGATGTAGCTGTTTAAAATGCCCCCCCAAGTGTAGTGCTGAAGTGCTTGCTGTCTAGTGTTCCTGAGCACAAAGCTATGATTGCCTTATGGAGAAAATGTATTTCTTAGGTGGGCTTTGTTCAGGCATCAGGTACAGTACCTTTGGCCCTAAATTCACTGTTAATGATTCAAATACATATAGTAAGATGTATTTAAATGGGAACACAAATAACACAGTTATTTATTAGGTATTGATTTATTAGGTATTGATTTATTAGGTATTTATTAGGTATTGATCAGTAGACAAAGATGTGACCAGAGCCTCAGAGGAACCTAACCTTATATTTCTGCTAGAAGCCATTTTTTTTTTTTTTTTTTTTTTTTTTTTTTTTTTTTTGGTGTTCTCTACATCAGTGTTCATGGAAACTTCGTGGAACATAACTACCCTGAATCATGAGAATTGACAAGTATGTATGTAGTATTTGCTTGGTTCCCGTATTGTATGGGAAGCCTGAACTATTCTGAGGGCCAATGTTGAGAATGTTCTATGTCTTTTTATATCATTCATTTTAGAGGATAAGATTGGAGCACAGTGAAATAGGAATGGGACATCTGAATTCCAGACTTGAATCTGTTGTTTCCTTGCTATGGGCCTCAGCTGGTAGAACAGATGATCTCCGAGATCATTCCCAGCTCGGAACTCTAACTCAGTACAGGTTTTTTTTGTTTTTGTTTTTTTGTTTGTTTTTCAGTACAGTTTTAATTTCTCTGACATTTTTAACAGTTACTATCATATTTTTCACTTTCATTTGGTTTACTTTTTTAAGATTTTATTTTCAAGTAATCTCTACAGGCAACGTGGGGCTCGAACTCACAACCCTGAGATCAAGAGTCACACGCTCCACCGACTGAACCAGCCAGACATCCCTCACTTTGATTTTTAGTACGCCCTTTCCCCCCAATTTTGGCTCTTGAATGTAAGCCCTGAGTTAAATGCTACCATTATGGGACTTCCTGATTCCCTTCTTTAGAATGAGAATTCCAGCCATTTGGAATAAGGGTGTTTCTTGGCTTCAGCCTTAGAGGTGACAACATTTGGTTTCCCACGTTCCCAGCTGTCTTGTCACCTTTGTTTTACTCCTTCTATGATTTTCACTCATGTTTAAGCCTTCCTAAAAAGAAAAGAGAATGACCAAATGACTCCTTTTTTATCCTTAATGTTTTGAATAGATTCTAGGTTGAGCAAAGTCAGTAAGTATTTTACAACAACTTGGGTAATTCATTCTCCCAAGGAAGGTATATCTTCCTAATTCTTTTAAAAAAGAGCAACAGAGAAGGGCCAAATTGCTTAGATGTCTATGATACAGAGGCTTTCCACTGGATGGATTTGAGATCCTTTGTCATAAACTCAATTGGTGTAGGAGAGGGTAATCTTCCTTATCCTGCCTCCTTCTCACAAAAAGAATGATTATTTTTTCATTGAGGGTATTTTTTTTTTTCTGGAATGGTTTTACTGCTAAATTTCAAAGTGTGTTTTTAACTCTAAAATTCTTAAATTTTATGATTTTGTATTTGCCACTGAATCTGAGGCTGGTAAATTTAGCTATAGACTTACTTGTAAATTCCATTTACCCAAAATCCAAGTAAATAGAAAATCAAGATTTTTAAAAATTGAAAGTATCATGCAATTTTGATAAAGTCCTAGAAGTTGGTTATGATAAAATTAATTACCATCCATCATAAGCTTTTGAGTGACCTTGTTGGTTATATGAGAAATTTTAAATTGTGTGCAATATCCTATTTTTGTGAAGGTTATTTTCCATCCTAATTTTTTGGTCTCCCCTATCTCCTGCATGTATGTGGTTTCACCCAAATTATGTACTCCTTTTCAGCAGATAATTCAGTTTTCAAGTTGAGATTTGAAAAATAAAATTCTGTCTTCTACATTTATGTACTTCCGAAACCAAAGAATATGTTCCCATTTTAAATAGTATCACATGCATTAGGTTTAATGTCAATGAGATATGAAGTCAAGATGCAACAAACATTTTTTTAAGTTTTAATGGGTCCAGGGTCTACTCTTTGCTATAGGATGAATTTTCCCACAATAGAATGTACTTTCCCCAAAGGTACATTCAAGGCTGTAAAGGAATCATAATCGGCTGCAAACTGCTCTCTAATTTTTTAATTTTCTCTAGTAAACAACCCAGTGTAAGGACTTTT